GCTGAGGCTGGCCTCCACCTTGCAATCCTCCTGCCTCAGCCTCCCAAGCCGCTGGGATGACACGTGTACGCCGCTGTCCCCATCCTCCAAGGGACCCTCTTGATTGACTGGGGATGGTCTTGCAGCTAGGGAGCTTGGCCAATGTTGGCCCTTCGAGGACAGACTCCCTGCTTAGGATTTTGATAGGCAAGGAGTCCACGTAGCCTCTACTAGTGTGGGACTCCACTCTGGAGCCCGAGTCCTGCCTCCCTTTCATCCGGGCTTGACACGGGCAGGTGTGAGGCCTCCCCCAGGCTCCCTGGGCATCTCCAGGCAGGACTGACCATCGAGGATCATGCGCTGAATGTCACTCAGCCACCGAGCACGCGGGGTGGGGGGGAGGCTGATCTGGGCTCCCTGGTGGCCCCGGGCAGTGACATTATCCACAGCTACAGCCCGGGAAGCCCAGGAGGCCAGCAGGGGCTGCAGAGTGGCCAGGGGCAGCGACAGGAGGAAAGCCAGCCCCTGTGGGGGCCCCAGAGGGCTCCGCCAACCCTGCCTGCCTCCTCCCAGCCTCCTGGCCTCAGTTGAGGCCCAGACACCGTCCTCCACCTCCTGCTCCCCAGCAGCGCCCCCCTCCCCTGACCGCAGCCCAGGCTCAGGCCAGCCTCGTCCCTGGGGAGGGACCCGTGGTCATCACCAGGAAACAAAAGTCAGCAAGCGGGTCCTGCCTGGGGCGCGGGGCGGCCTCTTCTCCTGCACAATCAGCCCAGCCTCCATCACCCTGGTCAGGCCTCCCGGCTCCAGCCCCATCCTCCTGAAATCAGAGGATTGTCCCAGGCCTGCAATCAGCACCGCCGCGGAAATCAAGCGCAATTATGGGTGATGGCGCGGCTTCTGATTGCCACCCACGTCACATCAGTCCCCTAGGGACATGTACCTGCTGGAGAAATTGACATTCCTGCCACCTTCGCGGCAGAGGGCTTGAAAACCACCCCGAGCCTCACCCAGGCAGAGGGCGCCAGCTGCCTCCCTCCGTGACTCAACCGCAACCCGCCAGAGCCAAAGGCCGGCGCGGGAAATCGAGACGTCCGAGAGCGGTTCCAGCTTCAGGTACGGCTGGATCCAGGTGCCGTCATGAGGTCTCGGTCCTTCTCTGTCTTCTATAGCAACGGGAGGCCGTGATGTCCCCCCAGCAGCTCTGAAATGAGCAACTCGGGGACACAGGGCCTC